ATGTTATATAGTTTATATTGAGTTTTATTAAAATATAATTTGGTTGTTTTATGGAAAAATACCTGAGATGTGCATATGAATACAATTGAAACATGAATTATGATCAACTTCAAAATCTCCCCATTATTCTATAACTCATTTTCTACTAATATTCCAAGAGGGCTACCAATTGTAAGGAAGTATTTCTGAGTTTTATTTTTAGTATTACTTTTAAGTGATTTTTCAGAAAGTACAAGGCTCAGAAAGTCATTATGATGCTGCTGGAAAAGTGTGAATATTTATATTGGAAAGGAATGGAATTAAACATAATAAATTTAAATCTTTTAAATTAAAGTTCATAACTTTAATCGATCCCAACATACATTAGAACTTAATCCCAAATATCTTAGATAATTGTATGGTATTGTTCTTACTAATCCCAAAACACATTTTCAAAAAATACATACATAGATTAAGCTGAGATGTTGATTGTGATCCTACAGATAACATCACATACATATACAGTAGAGTCAACATGCAATGGAACATATTTGGGCTTGCATTTTCTACATGCTTTTCTTGGCTTGACACAGCTGCCCTCTGCAATTGACATGTGATTGCAGGAAAATATACTTGGTTAAAGAATTTCTGGCAGATTCTATATAACACTTTAGGTTTTCTAAATCACATTTCACCTTTTGAATCTGGATCACTGCACATAGTCTTAATAAGCAACCTAGCTATTATGACCATTTATTCATGATCATACCGGTAGTACGTATCATGGCCATCTTAACAAGAGAAATGCAGATAGTAAATTCTAGTCTTCAGATTTATAGTAACTTATTAAATTCTCCCAAGTCCAAAAATAAATTAAAAAGCCATCACAAAGACACAGATCGGAAACAGCTATAAACATGTGCTGTCTCATGTAACAGTGAATTTCCCTGCCTCACAAATTGATAATCTGCATGTTAAAAACTGCACATACATACATGTGTTTTCCTGATTTTCTTCTAACAAATTTTAATGATTCTCCTAATCACATAACCCAGCTGCAACTTCACTCATGACTTAATAGCTTGGAAATAATTATGAAGAAATGCACCAGAAACCTGGGCAATTATAGGGTGCATGTCTGCGGGTTTACAGACTATATCCTGCTTTTTTCCCCTTTTCTTTAAATCTGGGCTAAATCAAACATATACATCAAGTATGCATATTATAAATATGCTGCTCTGAGATTCTTAGCATATGACCTGTGTATTTCAGAAATAGCCCATATTCTCTTGGGCTTCCATCAACCCACAAAATTTCCTAAAATATATTTGCTGGTTGCCAAGTAACACACATTCCATTATATAGGAATCAAATGAGGAAAAAAAAATATCAAGTTGAGAGTTGAGAAACAAATTGATTCAGTATTCTTAATACATGAACAGAGTGTTTTCCTAAACCGCTTGCAAATATTAATTTTTACATTTCCTCTTTCAAAAAATAAAATACATATTCTTGCTGAAAGCTACATATTGTGTTATCGTACCATACTATGTAACTTGTAATAAAAAATTTTTACAAGTGTGTAAAACGTATCATATTGTATTACAGTTAGGATCACTCAGGCAAAATTTAGAATTCTGTGGCGAGAAGGTTAAAATCTGTAGTAAAGCATAATATTTAACTGACATGAAATGAAAATACTTTTATTGGAATTTGTTGTTTTAAAAAACCAGGTAGGAAATCCAAAATGTGTATCATTATTCCAATTTGTGTATTCCTTAATTTGCTGCTAAATTCATTAGCAATATCATGTGGTTTCAACCACTCGTTTACTCAAACACACTTCCATGTCATGCTTTAATTCCATTTCTAAATAATAAATGCTGCAGTAATTTTATATTACTTGCTATTTTCATACTATAAGGACAGTATTTTCTAAGTTTGCATAATTCCCATAAAGCAGCAATGACATAGATATTTGTTTTGAAATTAATGGGAAACAATACATGTAAATATCACTTTTTTTCTTAAAAAACAGACCACTGTAATATACTTTATGTAGTCAAGATAAAATTGAAAATATTAATGTTAAAAATGCTGAGTATATGAATTGTTTGCTTTGCTTACATTATTTTGATTATTTTTGCCTCTGAAAACACTTTTGTACAACAAATACTGGCTGAGTGTCTCTCTACTTTTTCTTCAACATTTAATTGCTATACCAAGTTTTAAAACCCAAGGGATTTTTTTATGAATGTTTTAAAATGAAATTAGAGTTTACATAGCACTAGTTCAGCAACATCTGTGTAATAGCAATGAGTTGATACTACACTATATGTAAACTTGATAGTTATTGCTATTAAGATATCTCATATTTCACTACAATGAAATTGGATTTCCAACATCTCTCTCAGCATTATTTTCCTCTCAATGAGTACAAATAATTTAAATATAAGATACTCAAAGTATCCCTCCATTTATTTGAAATGTTCTTCAAAAAACTTAGTTTATTTGTACTATCTCACCTTTACAAGGAGAATTGAAAGTAAAAGTAACAATGAAAATGAATTTATTGCAATTACAGCATACAGAAATTTGTTATTTATTACAGGTAGTCCTCAATTTACGACCATAATTGAGCCCAAAATTTTTGTTGTTTAGTGAGAAATTTGTTAAGTGAGTTTTGCCACATTTATGACTTTCCTTGGGACATTTGTTAAGTGAATCACTGAAGTTGTTAATTAGTAATATGGTTGTTAAATGAATCTGGCTTCCTCGTTATCTTTGCTTGTCAGAAGGTTGCAAGAAGTGATCACATACCCCGGAACACTGCAGCCATCATAATTATGAACCAGTTGTCAAGCATCCAAATGTAAATCATGTGATCATGGGGATGCTGCAATGGTCATAAGTGTGAAAAATGGACATAAGTCACTTTTTCCAGTGCTGTTGTAACTTTGAACAGTCATTAAATGAACTGTTGTAAATTGAAGACTACCTGTATTATGTATTTGACTTACTGATTAATCTAAAAACAATTATCAAGAATCTTTGAAAATGTCCATAAAAATGTAATTTTAAAAAACAACATGGTAATTCAACTTGAGAGATGGTATCAAAATGTTAACATATTTTGGAATAGAGAAGACAATGTTCTCAAAAGCCAGGATTCAAAAAGACGAAGCTATAGATAAATACCTTATACCTTATCACTTGAAGTGATCAAGACAATGAGCTTTTCAACATGAGGTTATGATATAAACTCACAATTCAACTAGAATTATCAGACCTATGTTACCTTTCTATGGTAACCAGAAATATCAGCCAAGAAAGAGCTTATGAAGGAAGAAGCAAGGATCATAGTAAAAAAACCAATAATGAACTCCAGGTTGAGGAAGCAACTATTTGCCTTCTAGTAACATATTTGTATTTCTTGCCTCTGGATTCTACTTTTGTTGATTCTTGCAACAAAAGCAAGCCTCTTTTTCCTTGCAGAAATTAAAAGAGTTGAAGCAAATTCCAGGGCCTACTTTTGCAGTGGTGTGACTCTTGCATGATAGCTAAGCATCCGATGAAAAAACTGATACACAAGATCCCAGGAAAGACAAGCCAGTGATATGCTTGAAGAGTTTCACAGTCTCCCTTACAATAGAACACAGATTTCCCATCCAAAGCATTTGCTTTCTGAGAAGAATGCTATCCCTCCGGTAGATAATATATAGATGCTGGAACTAGACCAAGGATTGGACAGTTTTATCAAGATTGCTGCTAAAAGAGTACATATTCTACTGAAGAGTTAACAAAAATAATTTTCTATTTTAAAGTACCAGTGATAAAGATTTACCAGCACTGGTTCTGATTAATTCATTGCTGATATTAGAATTCAGTAAGATAAAGTAGTTTTAAATCTAGAAAGAACATTTACAAAAAGCTTAATGGTTCACTATGTTGTGAATTACCTATTACTAGTGATTACATACTACTAGAATTACAGATGTTTTGACCCCATATACATCAGCTGTGAGATTCCAGGAAATTCAACTGTTCTCTGTTGGAACAAGGACTGCACTGGTCAGGCCTTCCTTTTATCCTACCAATCCAGGTCTAATTTGTTAAGGGAGGGAGGGAGGTTCAACAGAAGAAGAGGCAATAATGGAAAAGCAATCATCTATTTTAAAAATCATTTGCAAATAAATAAATAGCTATATCCCACTTCTATGCTGAAGAACTGAATCATTCTTCTCTACTGTATATTAAATGGGCTGCACTTAAAATATTGCATCCAATTCTGGGCAGTGCCCTTTAGGAAGGAAAATAGCAAATGAGTGTACTCAGAAGAGAACCACCAAAATTACAGACGGCTTGGGAAGAAAATAAGCCTATGAGGAATGGTTGAAGTTATTGGATATGTTTAGACAGGAAAAGAAAAATAAGGGGAAACAATACAGTATATGTTTCCATATATCTGGAGGGCTGTCTTGCAGAAGCTGTTCAGAATTATTCCAGAAGATAGAATAAGACATAATGGCTGTATAAGGAAGTAGACTTTATTCAGATAGCAGGAGAAAAATATTAACTGTAAGAGCAGCTGCCTTAAGAATCTGTAACACGAAACGATGTACACAGGCAGTCCCCAGGTTATGAACAAAATCTGTTTCTAAGTCTCTCTTTAACTTGCTGTATATTAAAAACATGCAGCTTCAGCAATTCATGAAAACATTGTGCAGCTTCAGCAATTCAGCTCAAGGAAGGAAAATGCCATTCACTAGTTTTAGTAGTAGGCAGCCAATTCATAAGTGTAAATTATCTGTAAGTTGGATGTTCTTATCCTGGGGACTTCCTGATAGTTAAAAACTGAGATGACATTCATCAGGCCCTAATCCATGGTTAATGTCAATTGTTAAAATTCCCAGAATATGGGAATTCAATCAGCAGATGCAGTAGGCAATCCTGGAAGAAGATTGAGGGGTGAGGTGAACAGTTAGCATTGGTTTCTGACTCTGATGAACTCTGTTCAACAGGGGTATCAAACTGGCGGCCCGTGGGCTGGCTGTGTCACATGTAGTCCACGCCCACTCCAGCTCCACAAATGGGAAAAACGTGAAATGTCATGGGACGCGGTGAGTTTGACACCCTTGCTGTTCCACAATAGCTTGTGAGAAAAATACACCAAACAATTTCATGGGTACAATAGAGCTGTGATTCTCAGTACTGGTTGTATGTTAAATTTCATCAAATTGCAATAGACAAAAAGTCAGCTTCATCTGCCAAAGACCCTCTCCTTGAGCTGACTATTATGGATTAGGAGGAAATCCATAATAGTCTCAAAGTTTCAGCTTTGGGCACTTCAGCCTAAACCTAAGAAGAGACAGAGAGATATGATGAAGGAAATCTGATACTAATTCTTTTGAATGACTCTGACATTCAAAATGAGAAATTGAAATTACGGAACATATGGAGATTATGCTTTAAAATTATGTCTTTCTTAATAGATTATGTACTAGTTCTCAAATTTTCCTACAGAAGATTTAGGAATGAGAATCCCCACAATAAATGGCCACATATCAGCTATATTATGGAAACCAAAGGTAGGTTGATTCCAAAGTAGTGTTAGTAATTTACTTAATTTAATTTAATTTAATATTTTAAAATGCTTTTTAGCTATTTGGTTAAAAAGTATTAACCGTTCCATAGAAAATGAAGTAATTTACTAGATAATTATTTTCCCTATTCTATAAAGCAAAATCTCTCTGCTGAAAAAACAACTGAACAAACTAGCTGGTGAAGATATTATTACTATTTATTTTATTTACACCCTGCCTTTATTATTTTTATAAATAATTCAAGGCAATGAACATATTTAATACTTCTTCCTCCTTCCAGTTTCCCCACAAAAACCACCCTGTGAGATGGGGTGGGCTGAGAAAGAGTAACTGGCCCAATGTTACTCAGCCATCTTTTTATGCCTAAATTAGGATTTATTTTATTTGAAATAAAGCTTAGAAAAATTAGACACCTAGAGTCAAAGCACACTTACACCCAAGCTAAGAAGAAAACAAAAAGATCAGAACACAGGATCTGCAGCAACCAACACCCAGATAAGCAGAGATTAACATCAGATAAACAATCAAATAGAAAACAATATCCAAATCAAGGAACTGCCAAGTAGAAAACTACAACTCCACCAATTTTGGCAGGCAAGCTCTTGCATATAAATAGGGAGCAAACTTCACATTCATTAGCATTGATGATGTTAACCAGTTGGATAATGAAATATCTGCAAGCAAACAACCAAACTTGGAGAGCACTAAGGATTTCATAGTTCAATCCTAAACTACATGCATTTTCTGCTACTGAAAGATTAGAAATAATATCCATACATTTTAATGAATGTTCATTTCTAACATTTAGCTAGGTGACCTTTCTAATCTGAATCCTATCCTTATTTCTTGGAGTTCAATAGTGAAAAATTATTAAGTTATTTTACCTGCATATAGATAAATTGAATACATGAACTTTTAATCAGCATCAGTATCATTAATTTCTATAATCCCAATATATATCCCGCAGACTAACTGTAACATATGCATAAACACCATGTGTAGTATCTAAATAAAAACCTGCACAGCTCAGCAGTGTACTAAAAGTCACATAAGATTGTGTTAAATAGCAGTACTGTAACCCGAACAGAGTTACTGCCGTCCGATAAACAGTATATTATATATTCATGTACTGTTAAAATGCCATCCAGAAAATATTTCAATGAGAAAAAATATAAAACAATTAGAGCCAACCTAGTCTTTAATACAGTAATTGTCAGTATATTAGAAAACACATGCAGAATTGCAATTTAATCTTGAGACTGTTAATTTTATAAATTAATTAAATTAACATAACTCCATAAAAGAAATCTAGAGATTTATACAATCTGTTCTTCTCCCTAGCATGAAGTAGCAAGTTAAGATTTTAATGAATGATAAAATCTGAATTAAAAAATAAACTAAGATGAGGAAATGTAATTTAATTGTGAACAGATCAAGTATGGCACAATAGAAGGGAGTATTGAATGATTAAAAGATTATAGTTCAAATCTTCAGCCACAAAGATTACTGAATTAGCTTGTCTTCCTTACATTTTCTTCATATGATTTTGCAAAGTTAAAGGGCCAGAACTATATTCACAACCCTAAATATGTTGGAGATGTGCCATCAAACCAAAAATATACCAAAAATAATATCTAACTTCTACAGAAAGTTAAACCAAAATTGAAGGGAAATGTGAGCTTCCAGATATTGTTGAAATTCGTTATAAGAAATAGAGAGATGTAGAAACTTGGTTTCTATCTCCCTAATGTTAACATAAACTAAATTTAAAGAGATGGCACTATATTTTTGGCAGGGAATTTTGAGTACACTTTGTCACCTAGACTGCATACACTGCAACTCAGGAAAATTTAAATGGCTATTATGTCCAATGGTTAACACTGTACAAGCCACATTGCTTCTATTTTAGTGAATCAACTTGGTTCATTCAACTCATCAAGTATACAGGTTAAAAAAATGTAATTCTCATGAGAAAGGTGCCTTGCCTAAAAACATACTTCAGGACAAGCAAAATACAGTTCCATGGAATTAATGCAATCAAATGCAATGCATAACAAAAAGGTGTTTCTTTTAAAATATTGTGCTTTAGCAGAAAATACAAAGCATATACATGTGGGTATGCAAGTTCAGGATCCAAAGGACAGTTTGGCACAACCCATCAGTGATATTCCAAATAATAATTTTACTAACAGCATACTTGTATTCTAAATGTGAAAAAACCTTCCATCTTAAAGGTTACTGTGGAGTGACTTAATCAGATATGCTCAAATATGCAAGCACCTCTGCTGAAATAACAGCAAGTAAGTGGGGAAAAAAATTCAGACCCCCCACATCTTATCTACTAACACGATATTCCTTAAGGATAGTAAGCTAGTTGTGTGTTGTGTCCTGAAAAATGCTACAGTGCTGTCAACATTTATGGAGTTGGATGCAAAGCCTAAAATTGCCAAAACAAGTGATACAGAAGACCACTGGCTACCTGGGAGATGGCATAGATTTAATATTGCCAATCTGAAATTGAAGTAAAGAAATCTCTGTTGATTTCAACATGTGATTAAGTTTGGAGAGGGAAGTGTCAAAATAAAGGGCCAGAAAAGTTGAATTTTCCAAAGATAAACTTAAGGATGTAATTCCTAAGAAAATTGCATATTCTACAGAAATGTTTAGTAGCAATGTTGAAAACTGAAACTATTACTGTATCACTGCACTAGCAAGAAAAATTCAGCAGTAGCAGTGACAGACGTATAGGACAAAATTAGGACAAATCTGTATGGTGTGTGACCCTCAGGGAAGGCCTCAGCCTTGGGGATTATATTTAGAACTTTTCAATGCCAAATTTATTAACTTGTCTATGACTTTGCAATAAGTGTGTGAACAAAAGTATTGTATGTGATTAGATTTCTGATTTAGTTTTGAGAAAAATATTCATCGCTAAATCTTGAGTCACACTATTTCAGTCTTCCTTTATGAACAGCCCTCGATTTGAACAGCAATAAAGTACAACAATTAATAATTTAAGATTTCTTAACCAATCCTCTGAATTATATATGTCTTCTTGGATCAGTAAATGCTGTATGCAGCACCACTGCAATCTATGATAATTTAAATTTCTGTATCAAGGGGAAAATTACACTATTGAAATCTGCATAGTGTTTTGAAAAAACTATTTCATTTCCTATCCTGAAGTAGAAGCAAAGAAATGTCTTCTGGTTTCTCAACTTTTTGTGCTTTTAGCATAATGACTGAAGATTTGCTCCTATGTACTTGTTTTGTCCATTGGTGTTACTATCTTGCCCTATCAAACTCAGTTAGCCTTGGAATATAACATGATTGGAAGAGAACTAGAATTTCATGAAATAACTGATTTAAACCAAAAGTGCAATGTCTGGCCACATCTATAATATTCATGTTAAAGTTTCTTTATTCCAACTACCTGAATTTATGTATTTATGCCTGAAATTTCCAGATTTAGGTTGTCACAACTTTTTTTGTTGTTGATTTAATTTAAAGTACAGGGAATAATCAGTTCATCTTTCAATCATATTTTCCTAAATAGTTACTTTCCTTTAATTTTTAAGTATTACCTAGCCATTATCTAGAAGTATGGAGCTAGCCATAAACTGTGAGGTCAAACACTGGGAAAAGCAACTCCTGTCTTTAAGATGATTATAAAACAATTTGATCAATGTAAAAATAGAGAATCAGCAATTTTACAAAATGTATTATTCTAAACATGAACTCACCTAAATCTTTTCAGCTGTATTTTCTTTGAAAAAATAACTAGCATTATGAACAAAGACAGGTTTATAGTAGCTCACATTTGTGTAAGAACTACTCCAGTGGTGGGTTGCCCCCGGTTTGGACCGGTTCACAAGAACCGGTAGTAAATCTGGAAGGAGTCTCCGCCCACTGACCGGGCCATCATCATATGTGATCTGCGTGCGTGCGATGCGAACCAGTAGTAAAGGTAAGTAGAACCCACCTCTGGACTACTCATAAGTATACACTTGCCACATCATGATGCTAAGGTTTTAACACTAAGCTTATTTTCCTGGGAGAAATTCTTGTAGAATTGAGAATTAAGATCTTCAAAAGATCTAGATTAAGGTATCAGTTTTGAGAATGCTGCTCTTTTCTTATTCATTTTAATTTTCACAAGACTATTCTAAGTCAATCAAATGTGTGTGGAGGGCAAAAAGGTCTGTCCTTAGCTATTAAGAATTAAGTGTTACTTTTTATAACCATTTTTTACTATCATGTAGTACTGGAGTACCTTCATATCAATTTCAAATCCTGATGATTTAAGGAGTGACCTACATATAGTTTTAGGGGCAATAGTACAGGAATGGTACTGTTGCTTTCTTCTGGAATAGTTTTTTAGTTTGCCAGTTTAGTCTACAGATCTTGTGTCTCCTGGATGTCTCCCATCCACTACTAACCAGTGCTTATTTTCTAAGCTCAGAGAAGATCAGTCAAGTGTTGCCACCTGTTGATTCAGTGTCAAATCCATACTCTTATCAGTTTCAGGAGGAATAAATAGCATAATAATTAATTTGACATGAATCCGTGGAAGGTCAGAAGATACATGCTAAAGTATATTTGCAATGAAAAACTGTTATTACATAATTGCTTGTATAAAAGTGAATCATCACTGATTTTGCCAGAATGAATTCCATTCAGAAATGCATTGAATCATAAAAGGTAAGTGCTCCTCTAAAATTCTTGGTGCTGTCAGCATTCATTAAATACTTATGGTCTGTTCAACTGTACTGCTTTCTCAGTTATTGCTCATTTTCCAAATGCACATATTTAATAAGGGTACTTGGTGATAAATGTCTACTGAAAGCT